CCCCCCCGCGGAACTGACCCTYGCCTTCCTYTGCAGTGGTTCATCGTCGTCGTCTTCAAAGTCGTCTTCGTCGTTCGTCATCTCTTCCTCCACCACAGCCTCCTCCACAACGTCTCGCGAACTGCCAGCGGGCAGAACTTGGACGACCTTCCTCTGCCTCTTCGCTTGATGTCRTCCCTTCTWYKCGGGGGTCGCGCCTTCCAYGATCTGCTTCAAGGCAACCTTCCCTCGTCCACCTCCGCGGAAAAACATGGCGSATCCGACAAAAGCGCCTTCGATCGMGGTCGGTGGTTCGCATAACTTGCGGACAAGTACACCGTSCGGCGGCTGGATGATTGCAGGGCGRCGAGAATGGAAGACAGAGAATGGAACACACGGCTATGATTACACGGATGGATYACTGGGTGGCGAATGACGGACAGGGCAACGATGAATGACGRCAAGGGCGACGACGACGAATGGCGGCACGACGAACGACGGCAAGGGCGGCGAYGAYGAATGATGGCAGGTGACGACAGGGCGACGACGACGAATGACGGCAAGACGATTGGCGGATGGCAGAGATGGTAGACGGCGCGCGTCGCAGATGGGTACGTGGTCGACGAYGACWGTGCCCGTTAACCAAGTTGCGCGGCGGGAGCAGGCGACGACACAACAGCGCGCGAAAGGAAGACAATAGCGCGGCGAGAAAGCAGTCCACTGCAGTGCTCGCAATCCATACGCGCGCCCGAAATGCGTTTGGGGACGACTGGCCCGTGCTCGTGATTTATTGAGCGCGGTGGACGGTGGCTGGGAGTGATGCCGCGACGACCTTTCGATGAAAGTGCCACGAGTACTCCCGCCGAATGACGATGGCCTGGAGCACACTGTCGACGGGGAGTGGGAGTGCGATGTGACACCCTCCGTCCACGCAGGCTTCAAAATAATCGATATCCCCGTGGACAATCGAAAGGGACCCTGCTCCCCACCTCGTCATCCAGGCCCCCCCCCCCCCCCCCCCCCCCCCCCCCCCCCCCCCCCCCCCCCCCCCCCCCCCCCCCCCCCCCCCCCCCCCCCCCTTCCGCCCGCTGACATTTCGCCCACTCACCGCCCGTCTAGACTCCCACAAC